AATAATAATAATAATAATAATAATAATAATAATAATATTAATAATAATAACAATAATAATATTAATAATAATAATAATAGTAAAAGTAATAATAATAATATTAATAATAATAATAATAATAATAATAATAATAATAATAATAATAATAATAATAATAATAATAATTTTACCCACAGTTATACCAATGTCTTTCGATATTTCCTTTTCTTTTCTTTCTCTTTCTTACACCTTCCTTTTTTGTCATATGTTTCTTTCATATGTATCTTTTTCCTATTCTTTCTTATGTTTACTTTTCTTCTTTTTTTGCTTTCTTATGTTTCCTTTTGTTTCTATATTTCATTTATTGTTTTAGTCTCTCCTTTTCTTTCGTATGCTTCCTTTCCATTCCATTTCTTTCTTATGTCTTCTTTCTTATGTCTTTTTTCTTATTCTTTTCCTTTTCTGTCTTACGATTTTCATTTCTTTTTCTTTTTCTTTCCCCCTTTCTTTCTTATTTTGTAGCGAAAATCAGGGCCCCCGTGACCTTTTTCAGGGACCAACGTTTCTCTATTGATTTAGCATCACTAGATAAAAAAAAAATGAACGGGCGGGCGGGGGGAACCTCCAGAAAAGGGGTGGAACGTCCTTTAAAGTCGGTAAGCTTCTCTTAGCAGACCTTAGCATATGATCATATATTTTTTTCGACAGTGTGCATTCTTGTTCTTTTAGAATGACTTTGTTCTTTTTTTTTTGTTTTTGCATTTTTTTTATTAGAAGAAATGTAAAGCCCAAATATAGTGCAAATATTTATAAGGTTGTGTCCCCTCACTCACAGTTATGAATTTTCCTATCTGTTTTCCATTTTTCTCTCGGTTTATAAAATACCCATTCGATGACCATCATTAGATTTTTGCTAGTTAAAGCTTGATTTCCGCTCCTTTGCATATTTCAATAACATTTTTAACACTTTAAATTTATTATTTGTCATATTAAACAACATGGTAGGCCCAAAAAATAAAAATAAAGCAACATTTTTTTTCTTCTGAAATTTCCATTTTTTAATGGCGGTGAGTGTGATAATTGGCCAAATATAAATTTGTTTTATTCGAATTATCATTTTAGACAAGGTACAAAAAAGTTTACCATATCTACGACCATACTACATCTGAAGATCGAGAATATAGAAGTTGTTAATAGTTTAAATGATTTTTTGCTCTAGAGTGGATACCCTATCCATGCTGTAACAATCACAATTTACAGCCATGGCTACAGCAACATACACGCAAAGATCGTACGCAGCGGATACCCTACGCGATGCTATTTACACGCACATCTCCGCTCTCGAACATAGCGCGTGCGTACAGTCCTTTGATCTTTACTGTGGCATCGACAATCCGATACTAGTTGCGAGTACAGCCGTCAATTATTAGTCTATACGTGCCATTCGTTTTATGGTGTTAGTT